GGAGCAGGGGTGAGGGAGAGGGGGAGAGAGAGAGCAGGGGTGAGGGAGCAGGAGTGAGAAAGCAGGGGTGAGGGAGAGGGGTGAGAGAGCAGAGGTGAGGGAGAGGGGTGAGAGAGCAGGGGTGCCCTGCTCTCTCACCCACAACATTACACACACACCTACACAAACACACACTCAACCAAAGCACTTTGTTCATAAATTTCAATATCTCATTTAAACTCTTAAGAGAGTGAAAAAAGTTACAGCACCTCAAAAAGTCAACAAAAAATCGTTACAGTTAATTACTTAACGAAGAATATTAAGCGCATTCACTCGCTACCTCGCAAGAAGGAATGACCCGGGTTCGAATCCCGTGTTGAGGGGCGGCGAGTAAATACCGAATCAGCAGAAATTATGGATGTTAAGCGATTAGTAGATCGGGTTCTGAAAAGAACGAAATATACACAGAGTGAAACGGGGTACGTAAAGATCTTTTTGGATCACCTCTTACGACGCCATCGCAGTCTCCAGTAACAAAACGTGGAGGGTACACTCCGTAGAGTTTCACGTCAGACCATTCCAACCACCCGCCTTCTCTCCTTGCTCTTACACCCGTACACACACTACCACGATACCAACAGCCACACCCTACCACGATACCAACAGCCACACCCTACCACGATACCAACAACCACACTATACCACGATACCAACAACCACACACTACCACGATACCAACAACCACACCCTACCACGATACCAACAACCACACCCTACCACGATACCAACAACCACACACTACCACGATACCAACAGCCACACCCTACCACGATACCAACAGCCACACCCTACCACGATACCAACAGCCACACCCTACCACGATACCAACAACCACACTATACCACGATACCAACAACCACACCCTACCACGATACCAACAACCACACCCTACCACGATACCAACAACCACACTATACCACGATACCAACAACCACACACTACCACGATACCAACAACCACACACTACCACGATACCAACAACCACACACTCCCACGATACCAACAACCACACACTACCACGATACCAACAACCACACACTACCACGATACCAACAACCACACACTACCACGATACCAACAACCACACACTCCCACGATACCAACAACCACACACTACCACGATACCAACAACCACACACTACCACGATACCAACAACCACACACTACCACGATACCAACAACCACACACTCCCACGATACCAACAACCACACACTAACACGATACCAACAACCACACACTACCACGATACCAACAACCACACACTACCACGATACCAACAACCACACACTACCACGATACCAACAACCACACACTACCACGATACCAACAACCACACACTACCACGATACCAACAACCACACACTCCCACGATACCAACAACCACACACTACCACGATACCAACAACCACACTATACCACGATACCAACAACCACACACTACCACGATACCAACAACCACACTATACCACGATACCAACAACCACACACTCCCACGATACCAACAACCACACACTACCACGATACCAGCAACCACACACTACCACGATACTAACAACCACACACTACCACGATACCAACAGCCACTCTATACCACGATACCAACAACCACACACTACCACGATACCAACAACCACACACTACCACGATACCAACAACCACACACTACCACGATACCAACAGCCACTCTATACCACTGTACCCCGCTACACAACAACAGTTATAAACACATATTGTGTAGGTTTATGTACACGCAGTGATTCCCTGTGTTATGTGATCTTACAGTACTTCTGTTAGCACTCTTTCTCTAACCGCTGCTCCACCTGTAATGTTCCCCCCTCCTCCCCCTCAACAACAACAACTACCACCAGGCCACCTCCCCCAACACAAGCCCCCACCACCTCCACAACACACCACCATCGGCTCCGCCAATTTGCCCCACCACAAACCCCCAAAATACCCGGGACTGAACGACGGTTCAGAATTTTAATTATGCATGCCAGAGGGTAATTTATTTTTCATTTTCTTAACTATATCATACTACTTACTTACTTACACACACACACACACACACACACACACACACACACACACACACACACACACACACACACACACATCGGTGGTCGGTGGCCGAGCGGACAGCACGTTGGACACGTAATCCTGTGGTCCCGGGTTCGATCCCTGGCGCCGGCGAGAAACGATGGGCAGAGTTTCTTTCACCCTATGCCCCTGTTACCTATCAGTAAATAGGTACCTGGGAGTTACTCAGCTGTCACAGGCTGCTTGCTGGGGTGTGTATGTGTGTGTGTGTGTGGTGTGGATAAAAAAAAATAGTAGTAGTAGTAGAAACAGCTAATTGACGGTTAAGAGGCGGGACCAAAGAGCCAGAGCTCAACCCTCGCAAGAACAACTAGGTGAATAGACATTTAACACGGGTGGTACGCGCACAAGGGACACAGGTGGAAGCTGAGTACCCAGATGAGCCACAGAGACATTAGAAAGATTTTTTTCAGTATCAGAGCAGTTAGTAAATGGAATACATTAGGCAGTGATGTGGTGGAGGCTGACTCCATACACAGTTTCAAGTGTAGATATGATAGAGCCCAATAGGCTCAGGAATCAGTACACCTGTTGATTGACGGTTGAGAGGCGGGACCAAAGAGCCAGAGCTCAACCCCCGCAAACACAACTAGGTGAGTTCAACTAGGTGAGTACTAACCTACACTGTGCCTCATAAAATAGCCTACACTGTATACCTCATACACTAGCCTACACTGTGCCTCATACACTAGCCTACACTGTGCCTCATACACTAGCCTACACTGTGCCTCATACACTAGCCTACACTGTGCCTCATACACTAGCCTACACTGTGCCTCATACACTAGCCTACACTGTGCCTCATACACTAGCCTACACTGTGCCTCATACACTAGCCTACACTGTGCCTCATACACTAGCCTACACTGTGCCTTATACACTAGCCTACACTGTGCCTCATACACTAGCCCACAATGGGCCGCGCTGGAAGCATACCCTTTTATTATTTAATACAATACTGCTAATTAGGCGGGCAGAAATATATCGGGCAGCCTGCACCAGCCGACACCGGCGAGACTCACAGGCCACACACATCACTCCCACACCTGAATTGTGGAGGACATTTGATCTTGTTTTGGTGTTTTGTGCGCTAACTGGACGCTCACACGCCTCCATGTTGCCAGCACGGCTCTCTATACTTTTATAAATATATAAGACATTCATAACTTTATTTAATATATATATAAGACATAATTTTATGTGTGAGAGAATATCTGCTTTTCTGTTATTCTATGTTTGTCTGTCTGTCTGTCTGTCTGTCTGTCTGTCTGTCTGTCTGTCTGTCTGTCTGTCTGTCTGTCTGTCTGTCTGTCTGTCTGTCTGTCTGTCTGTCAGTCTGTCTGTCTACAGTTGGAGGCCAGATGCTTACGGATAGCCGTATTAAACTTTAAAGAATTATTGGTTATTTTATCGGGAGTGTGATAGGGAGGGAAGGGCGGTGGGGTCAGTCCCCCTCTTGAAGGTGGGGGGGGGGGGATAAAGGGGTTACGACTCCAATCCCCTCACCAAGTCTGTGGATGTGAAAAGTATGGCGCCGAGTCGATAGTAAACCTGACCACGTGTTTAAATAATAGTCTATTCAGATATTTATTATTATTTAAACGTCAGAACCAGAACTTCCTGACCTAAGCTACCGAAGCCGATATTTATGAGGCTAATAAACCCCTCACTATTGAGGTGTTTTCAGTATTCATAAACACCGCGGTTTTTAACCCGGGATCGATCGTGTTAAAAATGTTGTGTATTGAGTAAGATGACAGGTTGAGACCCCCCCTTCCCTAACCCCCCCTCCCTCCCTTCCCAGGAGACCAGTCTTTCAGGAGGATACCGTGTAATAGGGAGAGACAGGGGGGTGAACAGGGGTGTAGGGGGGCCGTCGCCCCCTGACACGTATCCCTGGAGCGTTGAGGAAGTCACATTGTCAGAGGGAGCCGTCAGCAAGAAAACATGCTGGGAACTGCAATAGTGGATGACCTGACAATAGTGGCGGAGGGGGTATTCAGCCCCCCACACCCAGGGAAGACCTGAGGAAGATTACGACAACTGCAACAAGATAGCAACCATAGTGGCACAAGAATCTAATACTTGCAAGTTTTAATAAGAGGGAAAAATACTGGACAAAATGAAGACTCTCTCGAGGGTGATGACATGGAGAACAAAACTGGTAGACGCAGTGGATGAACACTGCCTGAAACAACGCACAACACAAGCCACAATAGTAAGAGAGGATCCACCAACATCACCAGAGCTCTTGTCTATCTAACATGAAGCACTTTCCTCAAATCCTATGTTCGTGTTATCGTGAAAGGAAGACACCAAACGTGATGATGGCATTCACATCATGTGAATGCCATCATGGATATGTATAGATGCGACAGATCCACCCAGTGCTACACCACCTGCCCCACCTACACCCAGTGTCACACCACCTGCCCCACCTACACCCAGTGTCACACCACCTGCCCCACCTACACCCAGTGTCACACCACCTGCCCCACCTACACCCAGTGTCACACCACCTGCCCCACCTACACCCAGTGTCACACCACCTGCCCCACCTACACCCAGTGTCACACCACCTGCCCCACCTACACCCAGTGTCACACCACCTGCCCCACCTACACCCAGTGTCACACCACCTGCCCCACCTACACCCAGTGTCACACCACCTGCCCCACCTACACCCAGTGTCACACCACACATCCCCCTGTGCCAGAAATGAGAGCTGGGGCTCAGTGTTGGATCTGACAGAGGCACTCAAAATGTCATTATCATATTTATTGAAAGTGGCCAAAAGCCAGAGGAGTGTTGCGGATTACTAACCACAGTCTTCGGACTGAAGAAATCTTTCCGAACTGACGTGATTCCTCCGAGATGACGGGATCCTTCGGGGTTGAGGAGATCCTTCTGGGGATCCTTCGGGGTTGAGGAGATCCTTTTGGGGATCCTTCGGGGTTGAGGAGATCCTTCTGGGGATCCTTCGGGGTTGAGGAGATCATTCTGGGGATCCTTCGTGGGTGAAGAGATCCTTTGGGGGTCAAGAGAATCTTTCGGGTTTAAAAGTATTCTTTGGGGTTGAGGAAATATGTCAAGATTTTAGAAAAATGCTTCGCGATTGTGTAATTCTTTCACGGACGAAAGGGTCCTTTAGCCCCGGGGGAAGATCCTTGCCGTTTGATTAGATCCTTTAAGGTACAGATTATCCTTTTCGGTTGAAGAAATCTCTCGAGATTAAGAAAATATTTGAAGTTGGCGAAGTTTTACGGAGACGAGTAAAATTTTTCAGCCTACGATGCGGTGAGGATGATGAGAGATACGCCTCTGAGTGAGACAGATGCAGCTCTGGGGCTAATAATAATTAAATAAAGACACTCAAACAGAATAACAAGACATGCTTGGAAACATCTAAGTGTGTATACATGAGTACTACACATCTGTAGACATCCATATAAGCTGAAGTATATGTGGAGAGCCTTTCACACACTCGCAGCTCCCTGACAAAATGAAGCAAGCTTAGCTTAGTTGCCAAACACACACACACACACACACACACACACACACACACACACACACACACACACACACACACACACACACACACACACACACACACACACACGGGTGAGAGGCGGTACCAACGGTTGAGAGGCGGGATCAAATAGCCAGAGCTCAACCCCCGCAAGCACAATTAGGTGAGTACACACACACACACACACACACACACTATGTCAGCAAGGCGGACAGCCCGCCTGCTGCTATCATAACATCGTGTCAGCAAGGCGTGGACAGCCCACCGGCTATCATAACATCGTATCAACAAGACATGGACAGCCGGCCTGCTATCATAACATCGTGTCAGCAAGGCATGGACAGCCGGCCTGCTATCATAACATCGTGTCAACAAGGCGTGCCTGCTATCATAACTCATACTATATTCCCATTTCCAAACGTATTCCCTTCATACGTATCTCTCCGGCTTCTTTTTTTTTTTTTTTTTTTTATTAAGATATGAGGTACATCTGCATTAGTGCAGCTACCCTAGACTATATGAAGTGGAGTACAGTGTGTCAAAAAAGCTAACTAGGTGATGCTAAAAAATCCCCATCACACAGGATGGTTAGTCATACAGAGGCATGTGATAAGCGGTCTGCACTGGCAGACTCCGGATGCATTTTGAGGATATCAACAACACAAGATTGAATCCCCATGCAGGTGATAAAACTCTATGGGTTAAACCCTTCACATTTCAAGAAAATGCTATATCAGTTATCACTACACTCTCCAGGAACTAAAGGCACTTCAGCATTAAATTATAAGGTCTGCAAGCATTAAGTCAACATGACGAGTCAACACACCTCACAGACACGAAGCAAAATATCACAACTAATCGGGCTCCGTGGCTCCAGGGGCCCGGTCACAACAGCCTCGCACTTGGTCACACAAACGTCAGTAGTTTGGTCTGAAGACAATAGCGCCACCTGCCCCACCTACACCCATTGTCACACCACCTGCCCCACCTACACCCATTGTCACACCACCTGCCCCACCTACACCCAAGAGTCATACAGAGATACATAACCAGCACTTAAGTGTCATTCAGAGATACATAACCAGCACTCAAGAGTCATACAGAGATACATAACCAGCACCCAAGAGTCATACAGAGATACATAACCAGCACTCAAGAGTCATTCAGAGATACATAACCAGCACTCAAGAGTCATTCAGAGATACATAACCAGCACTCAAGAGTCATTCAGAGATACATAACCAGCACTCAAGAGTCATTCAGAGATACATAACCAGCACTCAAGAGTCATTTAGAGATACATAACCAGCACTCAAGAGTCATTCAGAGATACATAACCAGCACTCAAGAGTCATTTAGAGATACATAACCAGCACTCAAGAGTCATACAGAGATACATAACCAGCACTCAAGAGTCATTCAGAGATACATAACCAGCACTCAAGAGTCATTCAGAGATACATAACCAGCACTCAAGAGTCATTTAGAGATACATAACCAGCACCCAAGAGTCATACAGAGATACATAACCAGCACTCAAGAGTCATTTAGAGATACATAACCAGCACTCAAGAGTCATTTAGAGATACATAACCAGCACTCAAGAGTCATTTAGAGATACATAACCAGCACTCAAGAGTCATTCAGAGATACATAACCGGCACTCAAGAGTCATTCAGAGATACATAACCAGCACTCAAGAGTCATACAGAGATACATAACCAGCACTCAAGAGTCATTCAGAGATACATAACCAGCACTCAAGAGTCATTCAGAGATACATAACCAGCACTCAAGAGTCATACAGAGATACATAACCAGCACTCAAGAGTCATTCAGAGATACATAACCAGCACTCAAGAGTCATACAGAGATACATACCAGCACTCAAGAGTCATACAGAGATACATAACCAGCACTCAAGAGTCATTCAGAGATACATAACCAGCACTCAAGAGTCATTCAGAGATACATAACCAGCACTCAAGAGTCATTCAGAGATACATAACCAGCACTCAAGAGTCATTCAAAGATACATAACCATCACTCAAGAGTCATTCAGAGATACATAACCATCACTCAAGAGTCATTCAGAGATACATAACCATCACTCAAGAGTCATTCAGAGATACATAACCATCACTCAAGAGTCATTCAGAGATACATAACCATCACTCAAGAGTCATTCAGAGATACATAACCATCACTCAAGAGTCATTCAAAGATACATAACCATCACTCAAGAGTCATTCAGAGATACATAACCATCACTCAAGAGTCATTCAGAGATACATAACCAGCACTCAAAAGTAAACGGTGAGTGAAGACAGCCTGGACCTACAGAGTGCATGCCATCTTAAACACGCCTCCCCTGTCTCAGAGGCACGCCTCCCCTGTCTGCTTCACAGTCAGCCACAGTCAGCCACAACTGTAGCAGACATGCTCACATGGGTATTGACGAGTCTTGCATACATAGGTAGGCAAGCTTCTCCTGTCTTGAGTACACATGCAGGCCAAGTGGCCTAGACCACTTGCTCATCAACGCTAGGCCTGTTTATGGTGGTGGTGGTGGTGGTGGTGGTGGTGGTGGTGGTGGTGGTGGTGGTGGTGGTAGTGGAGGTGGTAGTGGTGGTGGTGGTGGTAGTGGTGGTAGTAGTGGTGGTGGTGGTGCAGGAGCCCACAGCCTAGGCCACCACGCTACCAGCGACCCTTCTCACGCTTCTGGTGTTTGGGTTCCCGGTAAAAAATATGTGGAGTTTAAATCTAATTTGAGAGCAATAAATCCCGCCCCGAGGCTTCTTCTGCCAGATTGTTAGGCGGCCGGAGCGTCTCTGTCGACGTGCCCGGGGTGGGCTGTGTGTACTGCTGGCTGTGTGTACTGGTGGGGCTGTGTGTACTGGTGGGGCTGTGTGTACTGGTGGCCCTGTGTACTGGCTGACTGTGTGTACTAGTGGCAAAAAATACTGCTATTTTTTAATATTATCCTTAAGAATGAATGTGATTTGGGACCCTTAAATTGTGCCAATTTAAAATAAATTGTACCTAAATTATTTCTAGATTACACAGAGTACTCTCGTGCTGATATATATATATATATATATATATATATATATATATATATATATATATATATATATATATATATATATATATATGTGTGTGTGTGTGTGTGTGTGTGTGTGTGTGTGTGTGTGTGTGTGTGTGTGTGTGTGTGTGTGTGTGTGTGTGTGTGAGTGTGTGTGTGTGTATGTGTGTGTGTGTGTATGTGTGTGTGTGTGTGTGTGTATGTGTGTGTGTGTGTGTGTGTGTGTGTGTGTGTGTGTGTGTGTGTGTGTGTGTGTGTGTGTGTGTAAATCACGAAAAATATACACGTGATTAAAAATGTGACAGTGTCAGACCACGGAGGAAAATTGAAACAGGAATATCCTTAAGTACTTTCGTTTATTAATACATCTTTAGAAGGAGAGAAGACTCCTTCAGACTCGTTTTGAAGATGTATTAATATACGAAAGTACTTAAGGAAATTCCTGTTTCAATTTTCCTTCGTGGTCTGACACTGTCATATATGTAGAGAGAGAAGAGAGAGAGAGAGAGAGGGGAGAGAGAGAGAGAGAGAGAGAGAGAGAGAGAGAGAGAGGAGAGAGAGAGAGGGAGAGAGAGAGAGGAGAGAGAGAGAGAGAGAGAGAGAGAGAGAGAGAGAGAGAGAGAGAGAGAGAGAGAGAGAGAGAGAGAGAGAGAGAGAGAAATTGAGACTGAGATTGATACATATTGGGGCCAATAAATGACTAAGCAAGCGAGACAATAAGGGTGAGTATGCTCCAGCATGGCCAATGACCTCATAAACAAAGGCCAAAGGCTTGTTAAACCAGCCACCAACCCCACAGCGTACGAATGTAAAACACTTTACACACATTTTTCACGACTGATGACGTTAGAACTTTTTTCGAACCGTACTCAGCTCACGTCCTCGGTTCGAATCCCACCGCTCTAAACAGCCCGTCCTCCAAACAAAGACCCAAAAGTGATTCACCAACACGGGATCCGTCTGGTGTATAGTGGTTTGTTTCAGGGTCGAGTCCCACACGCTGGGACCAGTAGCTGTGTCCCTGAGTCTTGACCCATGGTGGCGTCCCTGAGTCTTGACCCATGGTGGCGTCCCTGAGTCTTGACCCATGGTGGCGTACCTGAGTCTTGACCCATGGTGGCGTCCCTGAGTCTTGACCCATGGTGGCGTCCCTGAGCTTTGACCCATGGTGGCGTCCCTGAGCTTTGACCCATGGTGGCGTCCCTGAGCTTTGACCCATGGTGGCGTCGCTCAGTCTTGACCCATGGTGGCGTCCCTGAGCTTTGACCCATGGTGGCGTCCCTGAGTCTTGGCCCATGGTGGCGTCCCTCAGCCTTGACCCATGGTGGCGTCCCTCAGCCTTGACCCATGGTGGCGTCCCTGAGCTTTGACCCATGGTGGCGTCCCTGAGCTTTGACCCATGGTGGCGTCCCTGAGTCTTGGCCCATGGTGGCGTCCCTCAGCCTTGACCCATGGTGGCGTCCCTCAGCCTTGACCCATGGTGGCGTCCCTGAACTTTGACCCATGGTGGCGTCCCTGAGCTTTGACCCATGGTGGCGTCCCTGAGTCTTGGCCCATGGTGGCGTCCCTCAGCCTTGACCCATGGTGGCGTCCCTCAGCCTTGACCCATGGTGGCGTCCCTGAGCTTTGACCCATGGTGGCGTCCCTCAGCCTTGGCCCATGGTGGCGTCCTTCAGCCTTGACCCATGGTGGCGTCCCTCAACCTTGACCCATGGTGGCGTCCCTCAGCCTTGACCCATGGTGGCGTCCCTCAGCCTTGACCCATGGTGTGGCAAGTGAGTAAGCACATGCAGGGTCCCACACACGGGTGGGTGGCGGTGAGTAAGACCCATGAGTGGTGGCACTACGCCGTGGCCTCGACCACTCTCGCAGTGTTCGTGCCCAACACACGCTGCAGGCTGCCCAGACCGTCCTCACCAGCCTCCCCAACGTCAAGAAACTGTCGTCCTAAAGTGTCCTCATCTCAACCAACCTGGAGCCAGATTCACAAAGCAGTCACGCAAGCACTTACGAACCTGTACATCTTTTCTCACTCTTTGATGACTTTGTTTACAATTATTAAACAGTTAGTGGGTTCCGAAGCACCAGGAGGCTGTTTATAACAATAACAACAGCTGATTGGGAAGCTTTCAGGCTTGTAAACTGTTTAATAAATGTGCCCAAGGCCGTCAAAGATTGAGGAAAGATGTACAAGTTCGTAAGTGCTTGCGTAATTGCTTCATGAATCTGGCCCCAGACGACACAAAACAGAAAACGGGACAGTATGTCAATTTCGCGATCCGCTGCCATTTTCTATTACGACAGGCCTTAGGTAGAGTATACCTCAAGCTGCGACGTCCTATAAAAAGGAGAGGTTGGAGTCTCCTTCCACTTCTCTCAACTACTCCCTCCCCCCCATTCCCCACTCCCAATATATCCGCCGTGTCGAACCAATCCATCTCCCCTACTTCTCCTACAACCTATCCTCCGTAGCATCCAGCTAATCTACCCACGTAGCCTCCCACCAACCTATCCCCCCCCCCTAATCCCGTATGATCGTACCCAGCTCTCTCCACCCTCTCACCCAGGCCGTGACGTGGGTGTTGATGGGAGTTCAGCCCTTGTGACACACTGCTCTAAGGCTCCTCACGGTGCTGGCTTGTCCCCCTGAAGTGTGTTGAGCAGAGGGCCACGCGCCGCACTCAAAAATCATCATTTATACTACACAAACACACTATATAAAGAAAGATTAGCATTTTCCTCCTCAATCTTGCGGGCAGACGATGGCGCTTTGTCACACAAGCAGGAGTACACACCCAAGGCTGATAACAATCATTAATAACTGATAATAACTGAGGAGGGCACTCAAATGTGGAGTGTACCGGGGTATGGTCAGTACCAATATAAGACGACTCGACAAAGCTAGTTATCTGAGTGTTAACAATCCAGGCCAACACTGTTACGAGAGGGTGGTAACAGTTAATGCTAAAAGGTAAACATCTTGGTGACAAGATGTTTCCGTGTTTTGTCGAGCACAAGACGAAGCTGGAGAAAAGTCAGAGTTATGCCACCAAACTAGTGCCAGAGGTGAGAGGCATGAGCTAACATCTAAGGCTACTGTGTTGTTGTTGGGGGTAGTGGTGGTGTGCTTGTTGTTGTTGGTGGTAATGGTGGGGTGGTTGTTGTTGGTGAGAGTCGTGGAGTGGTTGTTGTTGGGTGGTACTGGTGAGGTAGTAGGTAGTGGTGGTTGTCATGGTGGAGTGGTTATTGGTGGCAGTAATGTAGGTAGAGGTGGATGGCACGGTGGTATAGAGATGGTGGTGACATAGAGAACTTTCTCCTCACAGTGATGGTGCGGCCCTGGGCCTCGGGGAGGTGGGGTAGTGAGGATGGGTAGGCACTATCACTACACAGTGGGGAAGGGGCCGCCGCCCGTGGGGGGGAGGGGGAGGGGAGATGGGGGGAGGGGAGATGGGGGGAGGGGAGATGGGGGGAGGGGAGATGGGGGGAGGGGAGATGGGGGGAGGGGAGATGGGGGGAGGGGAGATGGGGGGAGGGGAGATGGGGGGAGGGGAGATGGGGGGAGGGGAGATGGGGGGAGGGGGGATGGGGGGAGGGGAGATGGGGGAGGGGAGATGGGGGGAGGGGAGATGGGGGGAGGGGAGATGGGGGGAGGGGAGATGGGGTGATGGGGAAGGGGGTGTGGGTAGCGTGACCTACCTGCATACCTCGCCTGGGTTACCGTTATGGTCAAGGGGCGTCCCTCAAGCAGTTACTCCACTCTTGTGCGTGCGTGCGTGCGTGTGGCTGAGAGGGGGACATGCACTTACCAACTAGTGTTGACGTGGAGAGTTAGCGAGATTTAGCTCCTGGGGCCCGGCACCCTAACCAATAGAAAGATGATATTCCTGCTCCCGATAGTCTAATGTTTTGTTAAATCTGATTTTAAAACTGTGGGTTTAGTACACCTTCAGTAAACTTCCTGTACCTTGGAAACCTATTGAACTCGCTAAAAGGTAACAGGTAATGGACGGGTAATACCACCAGGTACACGCCCAAAATATTCTAGTCACAGATCACTACTGCAGAGTCCTATACTTCGTGCACAAGTGCACCATATATGTGCACCATCCAATCACCAAAATCGTAAATGTTACATCTGCCCGGCTTAGGTACTTTGTGTATCTCTGGGAGGTTGCACCTCCTACCTGTAGAAGTGTTCCCTCCTTCCTATAAAAGTGCTGCCTCCTACCTGTAGAAGTGCTGCCTCCTACCTGTAGAAGTGCTGCCTCCTACCTGTAGAAGTGCTGCCTCCTACCTGTAGAAGTGCTCCCTCCTACCTGTAGAAGTGCTCCCTCCTACCTGTAGAAGTGCTGCCTCCTACCTGTAGAAGTGCTGCCTCCTACCTGTAGAAGTGCTGCCTCCTACCTGTAGAAGTGCTCCCTCCTACCTGTAGAACTGCTGCCTCCTACCTGTAGAAGTGCTGCCTCCTACCTGTAGAAGTGCTCCCTCCTACCTGTAGAACTGCTGCCTCCTACCTGTAGAAAGTAGCCACTTGCACCTGACCAACTGTACACTGTCAACACAACTACTCGCCCACCCAGCACCACATAGTGCTGGGTGGGCGAGTAAATAGTGAATGAAATGTACGAGTAAATGATAGTGAATGAGTAAATAGTGAATGAAAACATTCAAGAGTCCAGAGACACCTCCTTTACAATTGTTCAAGAATGTATCAATCTATGTCAACACAAATCGAATGGACGTCTGTTTGAAGTTGGAGTTGAGACGCTTGGGGCTCGCCTTACCCAACTTTCACATATGACTCATGTGGGGTATGGGAGTGTCACAGGCCGGTCGGGGTCGCCCCCTAGGGGCAACAATTTAAGAAATATCGGCATTAAACCCAATACCCCCCGCCCCCGGCGATTTTCCTGAAATCAGTCTGAAATGCTGAATGTGCTGTCCGTACACTAATTTTAAGTGTTTTGGTGACCGAATGTCCAGTTATTAGACCTTTCAGACCAGTTCGCATGAGGTACCTGGAGCTTTGCAATTATTTTATTCATTCTCGTATTCTTGAAGATATCCTCACAGTATACCCAAAATTTGCCAGTGCAGGCTATTAAACACATGGCTCTGTATGACTAACCGTCCTGCGAGATGGAGACTTGTATTACCACTGCTGCCTTATTCACTCTTGTGTTGTTGATATCCTCAAAATGCTTCCGGAGTCTGCCAGTGCAGACTGCCTATCACATGCCTCTGTATGACTAACCATCCTGTGTGATGGGGATTTTTTAGCATCACCTAGTTAGCTTTTTTGACACACTGTACTCCACTTCATATAGTCTAGGGCAGCTGCACTAATGCAGATGTACCTAATATCTTAATAAAAAAAATCATTCATCATTACTTAATTTTCTGAGAGAAAAGAGAGAGAGAGAGAGAAAGAGAGAGAGAGAGAGAGAGAGAGAGAGAGAGAGAGAGAGAGAGAGAGAGAGAGAGAGAGAAGAGAGAGAGAGAGAGAGAGAGAGGAGAGAGAGAGAGAGAGAGAGAGGGGGGAAGAGGGAAAGATATATAATTGTCTAATGAGAATCACGGCAGCAACAAATGATGCAGTCCTGGATGTAATTACTAGCTATAATTAGCGAGCACATCGGTGAGGTCATTTTTAAGTGTTAAGAGAGGTGACACGACCAATTGGCCGAGTAATCTGAGTGAACAACACTCCAATGCATTACACTCTTCATTACCCTGTCATACCCGGGGCATACGGGGCCACACATCTTCCCTACCCGGGGCATACGGGGCCACACATCTTCCCTACCCGGGGCATACGGGGCCACACATCTTCCCTACCCGGGGCATACGGGGCCACACATCTTCCCTACCCGGGGCATACGGGGCCACACATCTTCCCTACCCGGGGCATACGGGGCCACACATCTTCCCTACCCGGGGCATACGGGGCCACACATCTTCCCTACCCGGGGCATACGGGGCCACACATCTTCCCTACCCGGGGCATACGGGGCCACACATCTTCCCTACCCGGGGCATACGGGGCCACACATCTTCCCTACCCGGGGCATACGGGGCCACACATCTTCCCTACCCGGGGCATACGGGGCCACACATCTTCCCTACCCGGGGCATACGGGGCCACACATCTTCCCTACCCGGGGCATACGGGGGGGCATACGGGGCCACACATCTTCCCTACCCGGGGCATACGGGGCCACACATCTTCCCTACCCGGGGCATACGGGGCCACACATCTTCCCTACCC